AAGCGTTATTATGCGCATAATGGTTACGGCGAAAATTTAAAAACATTGTAAATTTAAAATTTCTATGTTATTCTTATGGAGAATAGGGAATAGATAAATGTGATATTTTTAAGGAGACGTTTTAGTGTAAATCCAATCAGGCAAATGGAAATTCGCTTATACTGCAGGTTTGCTGCGGCGGGGGTATTTTAATTGCTACTTTTTTTAAACGTGCTATTTATGAGTCTAATAACAAAAAGTACTCTCTTATAAGATATCGAAGGATTTTCTTTGAAAACTACTATGCATATTCTATTGAATTTAGAACAGTAGTAAAACATTGAAATGGTATACCTAATGCGAGTTGAGTGTAGGATGAGTGGCGCGATCTTGTAGTCTTGTTAGTGACTAAGGCCAACATTCCTTAGACACAGCTGTTAATTAATAGCCCATACAGCTAATTGCAACTAAGGGACCTACAGTTTATAGTGTACTTGTAGTTATGAAACAGACTTCAGGTCAAAATTACGAAAGTACATAAACCTACTAATTAAATTACTAAAACAGAAAACAATCGCAGAAACAGAGGATAACACTTTTAATAAACAACAATTATTTAGTAGTTTACGCAACGATTGCGTTAAGTGAGTCTTTACGACACGAGTAGAAAATTTAAGGCACGAGCCTTGGCGAGTGCCTTAAAAACTTCTACGAGTGTCGTAAAGACTATTAACGCGAGTTGCGTACACTACTTTACCTACGACCGTTTTTAGCGAATTTCCCATATAGGGAATAAGCTATTACCGTAGTACTCATGGTAAGACCTGGACCCGGGACCGATTTTTTTTTTCGTTTTGAGGTCCCTAGAGGCCAAAAACACCATCCGTTCAAATTCATATATATATATATATATATTTATATATATATTTATATATATATTTATATATATATATATATATATATATATATGTGTGTCCATTAGCGCGATAACTCGAGCAAAAATGATCCGATTTTGATGAAATTTGGTACAAACGTGTAAACCTACGTTTATTCGAACGAGTTCGCGAACCAGCATGATCGGACCATGGGAACGGGGGTTTATGGGGGCTTTTATGGGGTAAAAATGGGTTTTCCCATTTTTGACCCAAAAAGCATAAAATTTTGCAATTTCTTTCTGAACTATTTTGTAGAGCTTAAAAAAACAAATAATTTAGTATACTGAAGCGTTATAATGCGCCTAATAGTTACGGAGAAAATTCCAAAAAATTGTAAATTTAAAATTTCTATGGTATTCTTATTGAGAATAAGTAAACTGTTGTAGTTTGCTTGTTTATTAACATATTTTGCCCAAATTTGGAAAATGTTTTTATTTCTTACCAACTATTAACATTTTAGCCTACATAAAAAACACTTTTACCCTCCCTGTTGCAGCAAACCTAAGTATGTTTTAAACTGATTCTTTTTAAATAGGGAATAAATGTGATATTTTTAAGGAGACATTTTAGTGTAAATCCATTCAGGGAAATGGAAATTCGCTTAGTCTGCAGGTTTGCTGCGGCGGGGGTATTTAATTACTATCCATCTGGATTTAATTACTAACAATCACTAATGATAACTTTTTAGAGAGGTTATGTTTTCGTGTATTGTCATTGCCACTGAAAGTGATGCAACGACTTGTTGTATAATCAGCTGATTTCCTGTAATTACGTGTTTGTGAAACTAAACTTCGTAAAATATTACATTGCTAGCAGCATTCTTACCATAAATAATATTGTATCAGGTACAATTCGGCAAATATTTCATTTATTTTTGGACTTCCACCAACTTAATTAAGAATACGCGAGTATCAACATGAACAAGTCGGATCAACAATTAAATTGGTCAACTGATCAGCTGATCAGCTGATTAGTTGACGTTCGAAGCATTACAATTTTAATTCTTTTCTCTCAATACTTGAACCTCATTGGTCCGTTACCTGTGTGGATATGAGAAAACTATGCGGATATGAAATGAAACTATGCGGATATGAAAGTAAACAGCTGTAAAGTGAAACTTTTCAATTCTAAGAACTGGACTGAAATGGCTACTTTAAAAAACGGTCGTAGGTAATAGTTATTTGTGCAACTAGTGAGAAAAGTGAGCAATTGACTCACTCGAGGGAAATTCTTACACACGAGCCGTAGGCGAGTGAGGAATGGTTTCTCGAGTGAGGCAATTGTACTTTGAACTCGAGTTGCACATTATACTTTTCCTACAGTTACCATAAAACAAATAAATTGGTGAAGGAACATAACGTATTTTTACACAGAAGTGAACTTTTAATATAACATTTAATGTGAAGTGACAAATACAACAGTACAACAGCTGACCAGCTGATTTACAGCCAGTGCTGCCAACGTATTTCGCGCGCATACGACGTTGCCTGCATGTTACGCGCTCACTATTTCGTGCCTTCTCGTTGCAAATCTGGAGTGAGACAAAGTAATTAGAGTGAGACAATGTTAACATTGTCTCACTGATGAGCGAATTGGCCACTTTGCTTTCTCAAATCAGTGAGAGAACATGTACATTGTTAGGTAACTGTAGGAAAAATATTTATCTCTATCAAAGTCACAAATACTTGGTGTTAAAAAATGCTTTCACAAAGATACCTACCATTTTCATTGGTTTATTTCCACGTAAACATTTTCATTCATGACACAAACACATTGTTATAAGTTACTCGTAAACGCCATAACAGTCTACACAATGAAGTACGTGACAATATACAGTGTGCTATACATTGCGCAGTCCGACGTAGTTACAATTTATGACCACAGGTCGCAGCACGCAAGACTAGTTGATCGTTTGGCCACAAGATGCCAGCACGGTGGCAAGTTCTAAACACTTCTCGCAAATGCTGACACACTAAACATTGCCGTAATGAGGTCATTGTCGATTGGATAGCATCCAGGCCATACCACCCTGTCAGAACTTACATGTTAATAAGTAATAGAGGAAATGTTTTATACCGAGAGTAACTGTTATTCCTGACGTGATGTTTTTAATTTTGCAGTCTTTGAGTACGCAGTGAGATTTTAAATATGTTGTAAAATATGGATAAATATTAATGAATTATGAACACTCCCTACCAGTATTTTTTATGCTAGAAAATATTAAGCAATTTAACTGACAGTTATGTGATCAGCTCAGTAAATTAAATCTTACATACGTAACGAAATTAACAAAAATTAAGTAAATAGTAAAACTAAGCACTGACTCGACTTTTGAAAATACTAAGTAAACTTGTGATGTTAAAAAACTATTAGCAGATACTTAGGGAGTATTACAATTATCAAAATACTATAATATTTAGTAACAAGAACAAGTAGCAGAACACACTACCTACAGTTATGAAAAATTTCCACAAAAACTCTTGGGGCAACAAAATTTTTCTTTAACATTTAACACACAATGCACTAAAAACACATTAATTTTTTAATGGTAGGCAAATGGTGTGTGTATGTGTAAAAACTATATACCGTAAATGGCTTTTACAATTTATAATTAATTTTAAATGTCTAGATTCAACGCACATTAAACTAAGATGAAAACTGTCACGCTTTCGATCGGAGCCGTAAGCCGCTATCCCGATCGTTTATTGATAAATTAATATGATAAAATTAATTTTATTAAGTGTTTAAAGTCTCAGCAATAGACTTATTCACTTTTTCACTGATTAGGATTTATGTATATTTATTATTAATTTTTGTATGCACACAATGGATAAACTATTTGGTTTTCTCTAACATTCCAAATGTATGTCAAGTACTTTAATACGTTGCTGAAAAATAGTCTACGCTTGTAAAACCAAATGAACTAAAAGATACACCAAAATATCATAGAGTGTAAGAATTTAAATACTTCCTTACGATGTAAACCGCATTACATAACGGCTCTGGCCAGTCTCCAAATATTACGTTTGGGTTAACAGGTTAATAGTTTATCAATTTAATTGAGACCTTTAATTTTACGACTTTTACTTTACTTAAACTTGTGATAGTTTGTAATTTACTTTTACTCAAACACACGTTACAAACAACAAATAAGGCAAACTTATAAATTTTGTTAATGTTAAACAATCTTCTTTAGCGTTTTGCAAGTAAAATGGTAATGAACAAATGAACATTAGGCCTTCTTTCATTGGGGACACTTTGAATCCTCATAACATGTACCTAATTTTACATGACTTTTCTTTCCCAAGAGAACATTTTAATCAGGAAGCAAATTTAAAATTTCTCGTGTCCTCTCAATATAATACGATGGAATTACGGTGCTGCAACGATTTTATACCCATCTGAGAAATTTAGATTTATTTTATAACGCTTTACGCAAGTCTTAATGGAGTTACATTATAACTCATTCATGGAAACATACGTCCTTAATTAACTAAATTATTTCATTGGCAAAATTAAACAGTTATAGACTTGTTTGTTAAGTATTCTTCATATCCTAATGTTTGTTACCTAGAAGTGATAAATAAAAAAAAAAAATATGATTTTTATTAGTTAAATTTACATATTTCATTCCCATTGTGTTATACATAAAATTTCTGACACGAAATACTTCAAAACGACCAGGCCTAAATGATGACGCAACAGGATAGAGGGCAACCCCATTTTAAATTGCTCAATTAATCAATTACACTTTTCAAGTCTTGTTTTATTGCAACCTGTCATTAATGCGACGAGTTGTATAACCAGACTGGTTACGTAACCAAACCACTTCTTTATCTTTTGCACCGGAATGATCCAGCGGTTATTACAATAAAACGATCAGCCGGCATAATGAGGGTGTTAAGCTCTTACGTGAGTGGAATGCGATCGATAGGTCGAATACAACCGATTGGTCGAAGGTCGCGTCCCTTGGCAACAATTGGCGTCAACAATGGAAATGTCCAACAATGAAACCGCAATCAGCTGTTAGCGTTAGGTTAGTTGAACACAGAGGTTATGTAACACGTTACACGTTACGTAACTCACATCGACAGAGGATTCTCTTCGCTAACTCGAACACATGAGATTGAGGCATCTTGGACACTCGCGGATGGAAGTACAGTCGCGCACTGGGCGGAACTAGCTTGACATTCGCTAGGTCTGCCAAGACGATATTGCCCGCTGCAATCCCTCTAGTGGGATAGTTTTGACTTGTACCTTGAGCTATGTTAGCTCGAAAGGTGCTACTAGGAAGATATCTTTGAAGTTCGTAAATGTTTATGAGCTTCGAAATAGACATAACCTTACCCTTCACAGTTTGTAAGATACAATTTGGTTTAGACCTTTCACAAACAAATGCGGTTCAACAAGAATCAACTGTGCATATTTAAGAGGGTATTCTAACACTAAGTTATTTTTACAACAATACTGTATACTTTTGAAAAATTAAAAACATCATGAAATATGTTACAATCAGGCCCAATCGGAAACATGACTACAGTTGTAACATATTTAGGGTATTGCGATTTTCAATTAATATAAAAAAATATGAATGTACTTTTCCCTACCTATTAAATTAATAGGCAAGCATGTTTCCTTAAAAACCTTTTTTCTCAGCTCGTGTGCATCGCAGAGAGAATCAATGCATCCTGTTCCTGTTAGAAAGATATTTTCCTGTAGATGTGCAGAACTAGGCTAAAAAATAAACAGAAATTAATTCAAAATTAAAAAAAAATAACATGGGACTTGTGCGTTGCCATACTGGTGACGAAATAACAATGAATTATAAACAGAAAATCAAAACGAATGGAATTAATTCCAATCACGTGTTTTATCTGTGGGGTGAATATAGAGAAGTATGTACATAAGATATTTTTGGGCGAGTTTTCGACCACTGGACGACCTCTAGTTCCTTTTAAAGCACATTCACGACAAACAGCTGCTTTCTTGCTCAAAGAGTCATTTTCTATCCCCGCAATTCCCTGTTTTCCCCGCGGGTGGCTGACCTGGCGTCTCGGCCCTTGTCCAAGAGTCCCGACGCCACGTCACACTCCTAGACTGTCCGACGCCTCCCCCCTCCCCTCCATCCTTATCTCACGTCTGTGTGTGTGAGAGACTACCGAAATATTCTAAGAACATTTCAGTGTCCTTACGTAACTTAATTCCACTATTTATATATATATATATATATTTTTTGTTTGTTTAAAAGTTAGCTGTTACTACTAAAGACGTATATAATCATTTTTGTGTGGTCTTGAATCACTTTAACGTGGAGATAAAAATCATCCTAATTCCATCAGGTGGATCTTAAACCTAATAAAATGGTTATGGCGATCGGGTCAAAATCCGTTACGTGCCCACAATTCTATTTTCTCCAATAATTAGTTACACCTCTATGACATAGTGAAATATTTTATTAATTTTTCCCCTCAGAATTATACTATATTGAATAAGTTTTAATAGGTATATTTATTTTATTTGAAACCAACAGCCGTCCAATGTTGAGAGGGCATTAGCAAGTAGACATATCTGAAGACTTTGTACCAACAAGATCAAAACGACCACCTTGTTCGTTCAAATAGTTGATAGGGTGCCTCACCTATTCTGTATCATTCATTTACCTATACAACCTTGATTGTAGGCTTACGGTGCCAATCAATCAATATTTTGAAGATAAACCATTATTAAAGGTCTAGTTTCGATCTTGTTCTCTAATCTATGAAACCTTTACGTATGATCGATGAGCTAACAGTTCAATCTGTCTTAAGTAGCAGATGATAGCAAATATACGTAACAATTGGTTAAACACAGATGTTTTACCAGTATATACGACACTAGCTGTACCCGCGGGCTTTGTCCCGTTTTACTTCATAAGTGAGCTCGTTCGCATGGCTCTATCACGTCCTGGTTGAAGTTCGTTCGCTACGCTCACTCACCTTTAGGTTGCAAATTAGCTGTTGTCATAAATTAAAAAAAATAGTGCTGCACCCTGTTGGTAATCCTTGTAACTTTAATGCTATTGCACATCATAGAACAGAACCAACTTGTTTAATTGAAACAGCTGTTAAGATTCATTAATTCGATTTAAATATGAGTACTCATACGGTTAACATGGGAAACTCCAGAGCCACTGGAGCGGAGCCCGAGAGTCCGATCAGAATAAAAACAACTTAGTTTTCCTATTTAATGCCTATAGAATCAGTGTACCAAATTTCAGCCTCCTAGGTAAATGGGAAGTGGGAGAATTAGTGTTGAGTGAGTGAGTGAGTGAGTGAGTGAGTGAGTGAGTGAGTGAGCCAGTCAGTGAGGGCTTTGCCTTTTATATATATACTAGCTGTACCCGCGGGCTTTGCCCCGTTTAACTTCATATGTGAGCTCGTTCGCATGGCTCAATCACGTCCTGGTTGAAGTTCGTTCGCTACGCTCACTCACCTTTAGGTTGGAGCTCGTTCGCTGCGCTCACACGTCCTGGTTGAAGTTCGTTCGCTACGCTAACTCACCTTTACGGTAGGAGCTCGTTCGCTGAGCTCACTTGCCTTCAGGTTAGCTCGTTCGCTACGCTAACTCGCCTCCGGATTGAAGTTCGTTCGCTACGCTTACTCACTTTTGGTTTAAAATTAGCTGTTGTAAAATATTTAAAAAAAATAATAGTGCTGCACTCTGTTGGTAATCCTTGTAACTTTAATGCTATTTAACATCATAGAACAGAACCAACTTGTTTAATTGAAACAGCTGTTAAGATTCATTAATTCCATTTAAATATAAGTACTCATTAGGTTAACATGGGAAATTCCAGAGCCACTGGGGTGGAGCCCGATTGTCCGATTAGAATAAAAACTACTTAGTTTTCCTATTTAATGCCTAAAGAATCAGTGTACCAAATTTCAGCCTTCTAGGTAAGTGGGAAGTGGGAGAATTAGTGATGAGTGAGTCAGTCAGTCAGTCAGTGAGGGCTTTGCCTTTTATATATATAGATAGATCCATTCTGGTGTGAGAGTACTTCGAATACAAAATACCCCCGCCGCAGCAAACCTGCAGACTAAGCGAATTTCCATTTGCATGATTGGATTTACACTAAAACGTCACCTTAAAAATATCACATTTATTCCCTATTTAAATATAATTAGTTTAAGGAGTAGGTTTGCTGCAACAGGGAGGGTAAAAAAGTTTTTTATTTTGTAAAATTTTAATAGCTTAGTAAGAAATAAATATGTTCATAAACAAGCAAACTACAACAGTTTAACATGGTAATTTTAAATTTAAATATTTTGGAATTATCTCCGTAACCATTAGGCGCACAATAACGCTTCAATATACTAGATAATTTTTTTTTAAGCTCTACAAAATGGTTTAGAAATAATTTTCAAAATGTTTTTATTTTTTGGGTCAAAAACTGGTGGCATACACTTCAAATAATGGTTCTCATTTAGTAATTTACAATCACAATATTAGAGCAGATGCTGTGTATCACCACGCAGTGCCGGGGCGTTCCTGTACACGTTGTAGCAGTTGAGGCAGGCATGATGACGTTGCATGACGCCATATCACGTGCCGACACGCTACGCACGCCATAGTTCACCGATTCTTGGAAACTCACATTGCTACTATATCAGGAAATTAAATTCTCGACCCTAGACGTTATGACCCGCAAAACACTGTGTACGTGGAAGCATAAAAGTAATTAGGATGAAAACATTTTAATTTGGCAATGAGTCGGTAAAAGTTGAAATAAGGAGTGTAATCTTCTTGGGACGGTTCCAACCCGATGCTGTAGGCTGGAAGGTCGGATCCCTGTGGTGCGTTATACATTGTAATGGTTTTGGTGTGATGGTTTTCCGCATCCTACTGTATATGGTATTGCAGTTAACAAACCTTAAAACATTGTATTGTCTTGAATAATTATATTTGGACGAAAAGCTATTTTAATTGTTGGTAAGAAATACAATTGCTTATCAGTTTCTGACCAATTGCAAACTTATAAAACCCAAAGTATGTTCAACTTCTTCATTACACTCTTGGCTTGAATCACTCAGATGAAGCAGCGCAACTTGGGTTGGAGTTAGATTTAGCTTTGTCAAGACAGGGCCCAAGTTTCTGCAATTCGTTGATGTTTCTTTACATTTAAGACAATCGAAATTTGGTCATCGATAAAAGGAAAAAACTGTTACTGCATAGATCAATCATTCCCTCCTTGTTGAATAATCCATAAGGATCACGTGAAGGCAAGAAGCTACGTTTTTGTCTAGTTCTAGTATTGTGTGTGAAGAGCACGTTTTGTGACTGATCATTCCTATGCTATTTAACTCACCTTAAAGCTGTTTTAACTGTTTTATTTTTGGTCATTATGGCCGAAGAATGGATCAAACACACATCAAAACGAGTTTTAGATTTGATAAAGAACATGGAATCATTGTACAGGGATAAAACGAACTCATAAGTAGGCAGCCTTGATATGCTTAGCTGATTCACATTGTTGAATTGTTAGTATTCACTTATTATCATAAGATGGGGCGATGTAAAAACCATGAATAAATAGTAGTTTACGCAACTACGACACGAGTAGAAAATTATAGTCACGAGTAGAAAACTTCTACGAGTGTCGTAAAGACTATTAACGCGAGTTGCGTACACACTACTTTACCTACGACCGTTTTTTAATTACTATCAATCTGGATTTAATTACTAACAATTACTACTGATAACTTTTAAGAGAGGTTATGTTTTCGTGTATTTTCATTGCCACTGAAAGTGTAATAATAATCAGCTGATTTCCTGTAATTACGTGTTTGTTAAACTTCGTTAAATATTACATTGCTAGCAGCATTCTTACCATAAATAATATTGTATCAGGTACAATTCGGCAAATATCGGGTAATCTGCCTTGCTTTAACTTCCACCAACTTAATTAAGAATACGCGAGTATCAACATGAACAAGTCGGATCAACAATTATATTGGTCAACTGATCAGCTGATCAGCTGATTAGTTGACGTTCGAAGCATTACAATTTTAATTCTTTTCTCTCAATACTTGAACCTCATTGGTCCGTTACCTGTGTTGATATGAGAAAAACTATGCTGATATGAAATGAAACTATGTTGATATGAAAGTAAACAGCTGTTAAGTGA